TGGTTGTGAAAGGCAGGTTTGCACCCAAGAATTTTGAATGGATTTTGCGTCGTTATATCAGTAAGTGTCTTATTTATTTTGTACAACCATGTACATGAGGAAAGTAACAAACACACTTGAATTCTGAACACTTGATGCCGTATTTTTTCAGGTGATTATGTGATTTGCCCTGGTTGCAAAAGTCCAGACACAATACTCATGAAAGAGAATCGTCTCTTCTTTCTCAGATGTGAGAAGGTAACAGTAATACAAGTTTCATTATTTTTACTGACATGACTTTTGATTGGTTTTAGGACTGTTTGCATTAGCCTGAGAATCGTCTCTTTTGATTGTTCTGAAGCCTCCTTGAAAACTTATTCCCTTTTTATTTTGTATAAAAGATGATTAAAAGGAATCTGGTATGGAAGGACGTTTATGATGGTTCTTGAACTGCCTGCATTGTCAGATTGTCTTATCACTTTGATGAAATGAATTTTTTCAAGTCTCCTACACCTTTCATTTTTTAACCAGAGAATAGAACTGTTTTTTAAATTGAAACTGTTGTTGGATATTTTACTTGCCTTAATTGTTTCTGTGGTGTTTATTATTCCCATATTCTACATTCTCCTAGATTGCATTGATGCACCTGCTCTTTATGTCATTTTTGTTTGCAGTCATGCTTATTTTCTAATGTTGTTCTTGCAGTGTGGCTCTGGACGATCAGTTGCTCCAATTAAAGCTGGTTTTGTTGCCCGTGTTGGCCGCAGGAATACTGGCACATGAGACTTTACTTTTTCTTGACCATGTTGAGGAGCTTTTAGATGATCCCCTATGTCTAATATAATATAATTTGCCTTGAAATTTTGATTAGTGGTTAATATGGATGTGAAATAGGGATATGCAGTTTGAGGGGTGTCTGCAATGGATTTTTTTTTTTTTTAAATTGAATTGTTACATAGATTCAATATTCAGTTTATCAATTGTTTCCTCAAAAAATCCTCAGCCGGCCTTTACCATGTGAGTTGGTTATTAGGCGTGCCACTTGCTTTGTCTAAAAACAAGAAAACAGGATTTTTCAGACGACCCTTCTCCTTTCCAGCGGTCGACCTCCAATAGGATGGCTGGAAAGAACGTCTGTGAAATGAATTGCGCCCCAGACGATGTTGCAAAACAGAGGGTAGAGCTCTGCAAAATGGGTTACTAATTGCCTTGGAAACCTCCAAGGACTTCACAACCAGACAAGTGTAATAAAAGCTACAAATCCTAAAATAAATGCAATATCCTAAAGCAATTAAACTAATATGAAGTAATTAACAGGAAATAACATGCCATGAAGATTAAATTCGCAGACAACAGAATAAGTCAAATAACAGACAATGATTTCAACTACGCAGCCCATAATAACAACTAAAGTTGAAGAAGAAACTATGAAATGATTAAAGTCTGGAAACTTATAAATTTAAATCTGGAAATTGAAATTAAACAAACTGCATGTCTGGATATTGTGCAGAGATAAAAGAACAAAGGTAGAAAATGTTCAACCTATTTACATGAATGAATAACAAAACTAAATCCATAAAAAGAAGAAGAACTAACCGAATCAAAAGGGCAGACCTGTTTTGAAGGCTAAGTTGCTTCCAAATACTTAAAAACTAATCTAAATTGGAATTTGCGGGAGAAAATATGATGAACAAACCTAGGCTAAGACTATGAACAAATCTGGAAAATCTGGAAGATCTGGAAAATCTGAAAACTATTGCTGAAATCTGGAAAATGCAGTCTGAAAACTGAAAAACATGCTCTGGGCAATCTGTGAGTGTGCTGGGCAGGCCGATAACTGATCTCCACTTCTGGCTTTTCTTTGCTTCGGTGCTGTTCCTCTCCCTCCATGATTTCCGGTACTGTTCCTTCATGATCTGGTAGTGGGGTTGCAGGTCTGGCAATTACTTTGACATTTATCCAATTTTTATTTAACTTTATCTCCAACAACCTTAAGGATAACTACCTAAAAATCCTCAATTTTCCATTTTAAATCAAACCAAAACTACCAGATCCCATCTTATCTTCTGCCACCTAGGATCCAACCTCCTTGAAAATCCGTCTGGGTTATTAAATTGTAAGCTAACCCAGCCCAAATCCAGCCCATTAATTTTCTTAATAATTGGGCTTTACCTTGACACGTGGCCTTACCCTATTGGTTTATTTTAGGTGTAAACATCAATATATATAGGCATGTTTAATTTTCTATGTATGAAGAAAGCTCATATTATTATCTCGACAAAAAGGATTTTTTTTTTTTTATATGAGAATAGCGTTAAGTAGAATCTCAGGACATTGTAGTTGTTCTTCCTTTCTAAAAAAAGTATAGATTTTTCTTTATTGTAAATTTACAATTTTATATGGTATTATAATTATATTTTTTTTAAATGGAGATTATTAGGAGAGAATGTAGTGTTTTTTTTATTGGTTTTTTTTGAAGAATTACAAACAGTGAGGAGGTGTAATATCGAATAGGAAAATGTTGTTGATAACGCAAAAGGAAAAAAATAAAAAAGAAAAGAAAAAAAAGAAACAAATCCCAAGTATCATATGCCACTGTTTCCTCAAAAATCCTAGTCGAAAACAGGATTTTTTAGATGATTCTTTTCCTTTTCAACGATCAATCGATCTCTACAAGGAAGGTTGGAAAAAAAATGTGAAAGAGAGGGTGAAGTTTTGTAAAAATAGATTATTAATTGCCTTGGATACTTATGAGGAATTAAAAACTATTAAAGTGTAACAAAAGTTATAAATATTAAATTAGATGGTGTTACTGTAACAATTTTTTTATCTCACTTTTTTGATATAATTTTTACATGTCATTAAATGAGTGAATACATTTAATATCACAGATCTCATATAAATAAAAAAATTAATTATTTAAATGGCACGTCAAATTGTATTAAAAGATGGGATGAAAAGATTGTCTCAAAACCAATTAATTTAAATGTATATAATCAATTATAATATGAATATAATATTCTAAAACAACTATTGATATTCTAACAATTATGAGGCGAGAGAAGTATAACATGTGTCCTAATGTTTCATGGTTTTATCTTAGTTCTTATTCATTTATAGTCTCTTCTCTCTATTTTTGGATGTAAGTACCTTTTGACTTATCATAAATAACTATGTATTTTTAAATTCATATTTAAGTGCCTCATTTTGATTAGTTAAAAAGTTTTATTTGTAAGGAATTTTTCGATCATATTTTAGGTATGTATCTCTCTGTTTTACTTCTCTGGGATGCCTGATTAATTAGTGTCAATTCTTGGTGATAAAATGATATCCAACTTTGTCAGGAAATATCTGGCTTTTGTATGTATACCTGTTCAACTATCCGGAAAAATAGGTGTGCAACTTCATATTAAGAAAAGAAACTTGATTTTTCTGGGGATGACGAATTAAGTGGGAAAGGAAGAATATCAAGAAGATTCTAATTTCTACAAAAGGGCAAAATAATGAGAAAAATGGTGTAAACCAAACATGGGTTATGTTAAGATCAATGTATATCGCCGGACTTTATTGGGGGGTTATGGTGTTGTGGTAAGGGACTGTTGTGGTAATCTATTTAATAGATGGGGAACATGGAAATGAGAATGCTAGCACAGCATTAATGACTGAGACAATTGCTTCGGACATTGGCATGCGCCATACAGTTAGCAGCAAAGAATTGTCTCAGTCATTAATGTTGTGCTAGCATCCCCGGTAGTACCTTTTCATTTCCATCACAACAAAAGTAAAATTCCCAATTTGGGAACAAAACTAAGGAACATGGTCATATGGGTTTTCCGTTCTGGTGTTTATGTTCTATTACCTGTTGAGCGCATAGGAAGGCGGCAACGGAGGATAAGAAAGGGATTTCTCGAAGGAATCAACCCGAATGTCAGTGAAGTTGGTGGGGGCCATGGGGCGCCAGGAAACTAGCTGGTATGCATTGTACACAAGCACTTCCACAAATCCCAGGGAGAGAACTCCCTCGAATGCCTCCCTCACGCTTCTAGAGTCAAAGCAATCTATTCTGATGGCGAACACTTGCGCCTTCTCCTCCCTCGCTATCTCGTCTGCAAATCTTGACAGTCTCCCTGTAACAGTTTCAAACCCTCAGATTATATTAGCCAAGAAGTGTACTTAGACCTGATTTGATGTTTGCAGCAAGCTATTTGTCAAGGTTTATGTCAGCTCCTAGTAAACTTCATTTAGTTGCAGCCAAGAGAGTTCTTAGGTACATCAAAGGAACCTATGAACTTGGCTTGTGGTTTGACAGTAATCAACAAGGAAGGTTACAGGGGTATGCTGATAGTGATTGGGCAGGTTCTATGGAGGATATGATAAGCACAACAGGTTATGTGTTCTCCTTTGGTTCAG